CCAGTCATAAAGATTATGAAGACCGTCCGATGGCTTGATCGATTGAATGGCAAGCGGCATGACGAAATTGTAGAACAACAAGTCCACGGGAAATTCCAAGACAGGGATAGTGGCGGACCAATGCACAGGAAGCACACCGTCGAAAGCGTAGTAGATTCCCCATACGACACCACCCAGGCAGACAATGACCAGGGCGCCATACACAAGGGCACTAAATGCAATTTTCCGCAGCTGCGTAGTGATATTGCGCTCCAGAACATCTCGCACCGGATGAAATGTCGGATCATCTGGATCGCGAATAAAGTCTAGCCATAGATATTAGCAGAAGCTTGGGGGAAGAAATAAGGTAAAACTTACAAAGCACACCGCTCCTCATTATCTTCCTGCACATGGATACGAAAAGGGCAAAATGGAACATATAACACGTTCCAATGAACCAGTGCACAAAAAGAGACGTAAGGGGAGATGAGGAGGTGAATTCTAAACGCGAGGCAATCGTGGCGTTCTCGAAGAGAGGCAACAGTGCAACATCGAGTAACGAGCCACAATACAGTGGGAACACAATCATTTCGATGCCGATAATGAGAATAACCTTCATCACTCCACCTGCTTGGTGAAGGATGTCGGCGACAATACCTTCGACTCTCTGTCCGCGATCGCCACCAGAAAGCATATTGGTGAAACGCAGGTACAGAAGCCCGAGAGCCGACGCAAGAAGGTAGCCCATAAAAATAGCGATGACGCGATCTTTGGTATCCCAAACAGCTAGATCATAACTGATGGTGATGCCCGCCGAAGCCGGACCACTCACACTTGAACCAAACCAGCTTGTGCCCTTCGAGGTATACAGCAACTGATGGGCAAGGTCGTAGAGCTGGTCCCGTGTCTGGACTAGCAGTTGGGCCAAGCCTTCAAAGCCATTCTCGATTGAAAAGGCACCCACGGGTCCATGAGATACAATTCGAAGGGGGAAGTCATGCAAGATGAATTTGCCGACGGTGAAGGCTGAATGAGCCAAGGCTGCGACACGCGCTTGGTGGATCTTTAGAGCTTGATGGGAAAGAACCGAAAACATAGGCACGTCGGATTCGTGGAAGACAAAGAAAGCCTGCAAAACATTGCGTAGTCGGTGACTACTGGCGTCGATGAGGGACAATGAGGCACTGGTGACGGACTTGGTCTGCGGAATCCATTCGCCCAGTGGAACAAAAGCACCGAAAGGACTGAGCAACACTTTGCAAATGAGGCTGAGCCAGTACATAACGTAGCCCAAGCTACCGATAAGAGTGTCCAGCGCTACATCTGCGAAAACAGATATGGCAGTCATGGGAACACCGAAGACCAGTTGTACGGGGTTTGCGAGAAGTACAAGGGCAATTTTGCCCCAGAGATAGGGAAGCCAGATGCCAATTGCCACGGTAAACGAGATCAAGAGTGCGCTGAATACTCCATTCTGCAGAAGGCCAAAAATCGGACCTTGCATGCCAATGAGCTCCAGAATGCCCTCCAAGTCATCTCCCTCCTCGACTGCATCAGCGTCATTTGCATCAAGACCAAAATCTGGGGCGATTGCTTGGTTGTTCGGTGCGGCTTCGTTGGCAAGGCGTCTGTTATTCTGAATGGGTACGAACGGCGCCTCCAAAGCAGGGTCCGCGACGACGTGATCATCATCCTCTTGCGGACGATCTTGACCTTGATCAGGAGTTTCAAGATCAGCCCAAAACCAATCGAAGAGTCTGGCAACCAAGTTCTTGGGAGGAACCGGCGCTGCTTGATCATTCTGTGGCATAGCTCCAGCACTTTCCGAGGCTCCTTCGGCATTCGATGTGACCGCGTTGGCCGAAGCTGAGGCGCTCGGAACCTGATCGGATTGAATGCCAGTACCGGCGGAAGGTGTCGAATCGGACGGTACTTCAGAGTCACCTACAGCACGGAGGCTAGAGCCGAAACCACCGTGAGTAGATTCACGGTCTTGCCGATCATCACTCACGTCAGTCCCCAGCGCATTGGGCGCAGAAGCGATATCCCAGGGATGACGGTTGGCCGCTGATGACGAGGGTTCCAACAGTGGCGATCGTGCTGAACTGGGTTCACTGTGCATCTCCGTCTGATCGGCGAAGGAATCCGAGCTAGCAGCCTCATGGAGAGGTGACTCGCGCCTCCAAGAACCACGCAGGGTGTCGTTCCGTTGAAGCTTGGTCATTGCCGTGACGATCCAGCCCAGCTCATCCTGGCGGCCTTCCTCTCGTACGAGCCTGAGGACCTGCTCGGGATCACCATGGCCACGCGCCCAGAGATCCCTAAACGTTTCCACCCCAGGCCAGACCTGGTTGCCGTGGGAGGTCGAGTGCTCTAGGGACAAAGGGTTCAATTCATCCTCACTGTCGCTATTACGCCGGAACATATGCTGGGATGTACTAGGTCCCTGCATATCCGAGTCACTGGAACTGATTGAGCCACCATCGCGGAATGAGGAATGCACACGATACGAATCAGACTCCGCCAGAGAGGCAAGCTGTCCTTCTTCTGCGCGATTGGAGATATCCTCGACATGTTCATGAGTACTTTCATCGCGGGGTACATCCTCTGGCTCAGGGGCGCGTAACTCTGGCTGTACCTCTTCAGGGCGCTGTACTGGACGGTTATTCGCAATCAGCTGGACGGCAGCTTCCCGCTCACCCTCCGCGATATTGGCCATGGGCTGTTGTTGAACAACCCACTCGCGGATGAGGAAGATGAGAATAAACGAGATGACAACCAATAACGTTATAAGTTGACCTTCTAATGTATCAATAAGGATGTTATTAATCGTGGGCGATGGTGTTAAGGTGTTTAGAAACTCCACGTCGGAGAGCCACGATGGGCGCCGAGGCTTGTATGATCCGGCTGTCACATTCGTAGGGCTGATGCTCAACGAACCGGTACCCGACATTGCGGGGAAAAACAAGGCAGAAAAAGCTTTCTTGATGACTGTGAGAAGTAGCGGCTCGCCTGATGAGAAACTGAACATGGATGATACCGGTGACTGCACGGCTGGTGCATCTGATGCTCCTGCTAATGCGCTGGTAGCTGCGCCCACACCCATGGCAGCCGTTCCATTCGCTACAACCTGGGCTAGATGATCGGATGAAGATGGTTGGGGATCGTCCGCGCCCGACCAGCGGCCATCAGCTAGCCAGAATAGAGCTCTCCAGATTGCCCTCATCGACCATGGCAGCCACCCAAGCCAGACGAAGGCGACCAGTACAAACCGCAGCCATGTGACAATAGTACGAAAACTATGGATTAGTAGCTGTCGGAGGAAAAGCGGAGCGGGGAGATTTTGGGGCATATTGGGATCGTATAACTTCGTAAACCGGAAGGGCGTTTTGCAGAGTTCGCAATGCTTCTTCTGAGAGTGGGACAGCCATTCTACCAGACATGCCTGGTGAACGAACTTGATACTTCCGCTACATTTGCATGGATAGAATAGTTGTTCCTCCTCGGTACCCTCACCACGGCATATGCGACAAGTGTCTGGCTCTTCAAACTCCCTCTCCTTCCCCTTATAGTTCGTCTGATAGGCCGGGTCATTCATCAGGTCGGGGAAGGAGGTAGAATGGGTATAATCCCGGGATGAGCCCTCGGGGAACTCCATTTTGCGCAATCAACGTCGACTCGACGAGCTTATCGTCTTCAGCAGCGGCAATCAGATATCATGTTCGGAAAGGCTTGTAGCACCGCGAACAGGTACGTGTGAACCGAGAAAGTGAGATGGTGGAACGGAGACACTGCGCCAGGGGATTCTCTCGCAATTTGATACAATCCTCTTCTAACGAGACGTTCAAATAGTGCTGCTAGAAGAAAATACACGTCAGTGTCCAACCATAGGCGGGTTTCCGTAAGAGGCGTATGTGGCAAGACGCAAAGCAGTCGGTGGAAAGGCAAAAGACCAGCCAAAGCTGTGGTTCAGTTGAACTGGTTGATCCCCCCCAACATATGCTGAATCAGCACAAGGCCCTCGATGCCTCGGTCATGTGATATTACGGTATAGTACCTCTAGGGGCGGTGAGGGGCCGCCCAATTGCCTGCATCGTTGCAGATCTGCACGTCAGGTTCTGTAAGACTGTAATGTCAAGTGCCACCGAAGGACCGATGACCTCACAGCTCCTTACAATAAAGGCTATTTACTATGGCTATTGTTGTTGTTCCTTGAATCCAGCGAGGTGTTGTTGACAACTGGAGATCTACTCTGGTGATCGGCAGAACACCCACTCTATCTCTCGTCATTCATGCAACCTCGCTTACCCTCCGTTCTAGATATATACCGTAACACTGCCTGTTCCTTGCCCGTCAGGATACAGATTGGTATCACCCCTCTAAAACTCGACGGCGCCAAGACGGAGACGGGAATTGATCGTCGCGTGCGCTTCGAGGATCCCAGCTTGTGATTCCGGAAAAACGTTGCTAAGACCCTTTCATCTTCCCCCCTCCCAAAGTCGACTGGGCCCTTTAGTTTGTCCGAATTTCCGGAAGGCTCAGGAGATAGTCTAGGCTTCATCATCTTTGGCTCATTCATATACTATCTTCGTCGAATTGGACACGCGACGCGAGTTTCAGTTTTCTGCCTGCCGGACTCGAAGCGAGCGGCACCCCCGTTGACAACGGGAACAACTTATGATGACCGTTCCGGATAATAGCAATGTCCCGGATGGGGCCGATCGGATAATAAAATCCAGGAGCAGCGCTTCAAAGTCAAGCAAACGAGGAACTATCCGGTGGACAGTTGGGCTGGTGGTGCGGTAAGTCTCACTCAAAAATCTAGACCGGGATCTTCGGTCCACCGCGTTATGGAGTTGAACCGTTGCTAATCTGACGATCAACTTGACAGGCTCTGTATCTGGTATGCTCTTCTCACGCCATTCCTGCGCTGCCCTTCTCAGCTCTCCGACCTTACGGATTCTTCGCCGCGAGTATGCAAGCCATACCTTGTTGCTCGCTCCTATGTCGAACCCCATGTGATGCCGTATTATGACGCTTATGGCGCGCCATATGTCGAGACAGTGCGCCCGTACGTGCAGGTTCTCAATGAGAAAGTGTACGCGCCTACTTCGCGTGTCGTCAAGCACGGGTATGAGAGATACGGTGCGCCCGCTTTGGATAGAGCCCAGCTTTATGGCCAGCAGCAGTGGGAGACGATTGTCGTCCCACATTTGCAGTCCGCTAAGGACAGAGCAAATGGCCTGTATCAGTCTCAAGTATATCCCCATGTGCAAAGCGTTGAGGCGGCTTTGTCGCCATCCTTCCACAAAGCCAACGGCGCGATCAAGTCGGCATACGGAGACTACCTTCTCCCCTTCGGCGCAAAATATAGGCCTTTCATTGGCAAGACCTATACAACAGGGCAGGATATGCTCACAACAACCGTACTTCCTTATGCGCAAAACTCATGGTCTGCGGCTATCTATTTCATTCACAGCACATTATGGCCCAGAGTCACCGGAGTCTACTCCGAGAACGTCGAACCGCAGCTAGTTAAGATCGGAGAAAGATTAGCAAGTTACCGTGAGGAGAAGAGGTTGCGACAGGTTGCAGAGGAAGTGGAGAGGTAGGTTTTCGTTGCTGTAATAGATATGGTTCATGTGTTAATTTGTCATTACAGTGCATCCCAACAAGCATCTTTTCTCACTGCACCAAAAGCTACTGAGGTGGACGACTTGACGACATCGTCCACAACCGAGCAAGCCACCGCAACGCCTACGCTGTCGCCTACAGAACAAGCTGCGAAAGCGCGCAATAGTATTGAGACTGACCTGCACACCTGGCAACAAAAGTTTGCTGTTGCTGCAGAGAAGGGCCTCGAGGACCTTGAAGAGCGCTTGCAAGAGATAGTCAACGGGTTCATTGGGAGTGGCGTACGCGCACATGGAGAAAGCTTGGCGACCGCATTGGAGGCTGTTGTTGACAACGAGCTTATAGCTCTCAAGCGTCATATTAACAGCCTCGCCGAGTCTTTGCCAAAAGAAGACGTGCCCCAAGAGGAGCAGGCAGCGACAAACGAGCTTTTCGGAAACATCAAAGAAGCCGCAGTGTCTATCCGGGACCGTGCTCACGCCCTTCGAGAATGGCGCAATTCCTTCGACCAAGAGCTTACCAGGCGCGTTTCTTTTGCAATCAATTCTACACTCGATGTCCTGGATAGCGTCCGCGATCTTGGACTTCAAGAGGTCGGCATGCGTTGGGCCTGGATGGAGGGTGTCACCTACAAGGATTGGGCTAGGTACCATGCATTGAAGGCACAGTTCGAGGAATGGAAAGATGAGTTTTTGGAATTTGGCCTTCAGCACGCGAAGCTTGAGGAAGCGCGAGCAGTAGCGGACGAGATCCTGTCGCATGGAATGGAGATTGCTGAGGCTGCCGCCAAGGAGCTAACCCGGCTGAGAGACGTTGGCAAGTGGAAGATCGCCGCCAGGGAAGCGAGCGATGACTTTGACACCAGATCTGAGCCTCCACCTGCATTGCCTAAGCCTAGCCGTACCCCCGAGCCTGTTGCAGATGAAAATGCACCGGCAAATGAGGCAGCCGATGCTGAGCGTCCGGATGGGACAGTCTTTGCGTATGATGCCGCCTCTCGGGTTGCAAATGACGGGTCCAACGGCGAGGAAGAGAGTATGGCAACTGATGAGGAACACGCTTCTCCCCAGGGCAACGTTGGATTGCCTTCAAACTACGAATCGACTGGCTTTGCGGGCGATGACCAGGACCAGGCAGCCGAGACTCAGGATGCCGACGAGTTGAAAGCAGCATGGGGAGTAGCCGCAGCTGATGTGAGAATCCCGTCGGAAGAAGAAACACCACAGGCTTCTGGTCCTCCATTGTCGTCCGAGCAACAACAAGCTGTCGCGGATCTCGTCTCAGGTCTACTCGTGGACAAAGACTCCGCCTACGCTAAAGAAATCATGAACAAACTGCACTCAATTTACGGGACCCCACAGCCAACACCAGAGCCCTCTGTATCATCTGACGACGCCTCTGATGACACCTCTGAGGACGTTAGTGATGTCGATGCAGATGCTTCGAATATCTCCATCTCCGAAGAAGAACCTCTCCAGGAAACTGATGACGCCTCGGATGCACCATCTGAAGAGGTCTTCGAGTATACTGCTATCGCCGATGACGAGGATAGCAGCGACGAGGCACAAGACTCCCACGAGTCACTCTCCGACGAGATCGAGGTCGAAGAGGATCCATCCATGGATAACGCCGAATCGCACTCGGCAACTTCTCCTTCCACTACCAGCAATGTTGTATCCGATGAGGCCGAGGAAACCATCATCCCCGAAACAACCCCAGCCAACGAAGACAGCATTGCAGAGGAGTTGTAACCTGAGACAAGACAGACAGACAGGGTTGGCTGTTTCTTGGCAATTCTTTTATGATTTGATATCCCAAAACATTCTTGTTATTCGCTTGATTTACCATCTCAGGTCGGCCCATGATATTCCCCACATAGTTTCCCCACGATTTGTACGTCATGATATAGCATTTTCCATTCCGCTTCAATCCGACCTCTTATACCACCTGAATTTCCTTTTTCTACTTTTGCTGTGTACTATGTGCTGTGTTTTTGTTTCCCAATTCTTGTAACGGCCACTCCTGCTTCATCAAAGTTGTGCCCCTCTGGCACCAAAGTTTTTGCTTTTTGGAAGCGCTCATCTCGCATCCGATCTATCTTCACAAACATTAAAATACAATCTGCTCAACCATAGAACAACGGTGACACCAAACCACGCAATGCGTAGCCATCCGTATTATATATGCATAAACCGTCCCCAAACGGCCACTCAATGAAACCAACCAACAGCCCACTCCCCCAAGACCATATCAGCGATACTGCACCCCCCTGGCACCCCTCTTCTCCATCTTCTTCTGCCTCTTACTCTCCGCCGCACCTCCTTGCTCCTGCCCAGCACCCGCACCAGCACCACCCATCCCTGCCAACCCACTCTTCATGCCCATAAAGGTACTGTACGCCAACCACACCGAATACACTGGCACGACGATCCACAACCACCAAGCACGATCGCCAAACAAGCAGGCAGCACCAATGCACCCCCACGTCCAGTACAGCACGTCCCACATGTATTCCGTCAGTCCTGCGGCGCCGAGATCCTCTCCGGGAGAGCGGAGGGATCCATCAGCGGGGTTGTAGACCGGGCGGCCGAGCCGTTCGAGGTAGAATTCGATGATGAGGGTCGGGCAGGCGAGTGTGAAGTAGGGGGTTAGAGAGCGAGGGCGGTTGAAGAGCCAGTGGAGAGCGAGGAAGAGGAAGTGTAGGGCGAAACTGATGAGGTGGGTGCGGGTGAGGAGGGACGCGTTGCGCGCGGCGAGGGTTTTGGCGGCTTTCTATGGGGGTGGAGATTAGTTGGTTGAATGTGAGGGTTTTAGTTTAAGGAGGGGGGTGGGGTGGACGAACTTGAGCCATGTTGTTTAGTGGTGGTGGTGATTTTTGAAGTTGAGATTAATTCGGTATGATCGGATGACGATGATGATAATGATTGATGCAGGTCGCGTGCGGATGCAAGTCAGGGTGCAGTGGGGGGATGGTGGAAATGACAGGGAGCGATGACTCCGCTCAGTGAATGAATTGATTAGCGATAAGCAAGCTGCATGATCGGGGAGGGATAATGTAGTCTAGTAGTCCAGATATTAGATAGATCGATAGATTGAAGGTGGAAGGAACAGTTGTAGTAGTAGATGATGGCGAATAGGGAATGGCGTTGCCCACCACAACCACAGCCAAGCCGCTCTCCGCCTCTCACCAGCCACGCTCCGCCAGATTCGCTGCTCCAAAACATCGCCAAAAAGGCGTCGTGAACAACGACTTCTGTCGGACTTTGCCGCTTCGCCCCTCGGCCTGCTTTGGGCTTCTGCCGCGTATATCTGGTCTGCTGCTTTCGCTGTCTGCTCGTCGCGACATGCGATTTGGCTCCCTTTGACATTTTTCTGGGCCTGCACGGCGTCACGAGTTGTCCGGACGTCATCCACCTTCCCTTCTCTCTGCCACAGCTTCGCAATCACCCCCTCTCGACTAGTTTGACCTGTGGCGGAGATATAGACAAAACCCATTGCGAACCATCGGGCGCAAACTAGCCAGACGATATACTTCGCCGGTTATTGTTCTGACAGGTGTTGATGATCTAACAGTCTTTTTTTTTTTCTCTGTTCCCTATCTATACAGTTGAAAGAAACACCACGTCGTCGTTGCCTTAAATCCGGTTCACGCGGCGCTCCCCTCACACTTCTTAGTGTTCTTCAATCCACTTGGAATATTTCTCTACTCCACCCATGCTGGTTCGGTGTTAACAGATTAACTACCTCACCTGTCGCTCATCTGTTCCTTGATTCCGCAAGCTCCCTTCGCGCCGTTCCCAATACGAACATCAATACCGCCTCCTCTCCTGCAGCGCCTCTCTAATATCGCCCCCCCTCCTCTCTCCCTTCTCCTTGAATGAATCCCACACCTCAACATGTCACCCTCCACCGCACATATATCGAGCCAACTTAGGCAATTAATATACTACCATCTTGATAACAACCTCGTCCGTAATGCGCTTTTCCTTGCCGGTCGGTTGCACGCCTACGAACCCCGAGCAGCGGAATCTTCATATTTACTCGCCTTATGCCATCTCCAGAGTGGTCAAGTGAAAGCAGCATACGACTACAGCAAGAACTTTGGATGGCGAGGCACTCACCTGGGCTGCGCATATGTGTTCGCCCAGGCGTGCCTGGACCTGGGAAAATATCCTGAAGGCATCACGGCATTGGAACGAAGCAAAGGGCTCTGGTCCACAAAGAACCATTGGGGTACGCTTTGTTAGGCATTTCTTTATATTATCTCGCTTGTCGCAAATGGACGCGACCAATTTTCTTGGCTGATCACAGCTGACATGTTCTTTTCGCGGTTTCCAGGAAAACACAGCGAGACGCGCAGGCAACATTTACCCGATGCGGCAGCGGTGCTGTGTCTACAGGGCAAGCTCTTCTATGCGCATAATGAACTGAATGCGGCTGTTGAATGCTATGTCGACGCGCTCAAGTTGAACCCGTTCATGTGGGACGCTTTCTTGGGCTTGTGTGAGACCGGTGAGTATCGCAAGCGGATAGGGAGAATGCTGTCGCTAATCGTTCAAAGGGGTCAATATCCGCGTCCCCAACATCTTCAAGATGACACCTGAACTGAACGCTTTGTTAGCGTCCTCCTCACAAGATGACTTAGATTTGTCTTCGGATAAGGCAGCACATTCTGCAGGTCCCTTGCAGTCACAACCGAAACTGAACTCAAGCACCGATCCCTTTACATCTTTGACGTCTCGGACTGAGGCAGTCGGCACCCATGGGAGCTCCGCTCTCTGGGAAAAGCTCAATGGCAGCACGGTCAGCGTGGCATCCACCGGCACATCAGCAGTTCCGGCATTTCGAGAAGGGACCGAAACACCTGGAGGCCAAAGCAGTGAGTCGGATGACCGCACCATGCACCGGGCAGACGCGCCATTGGAGCCGCCCTTGGCGCCTGCACGGAAGAACCGAACGATACAGACGATTAGTGCCGATCACGGCATGGACTCCCCACCAAAGATGAAGCCCACGGGTATCCGACCCCGAACCAGAACCAAGCCTGAGCCCGATGAGCCGGCCACAACGTATACGGAACGAGAACTCTCACAAGGAGTCCGTGTGGGTGACCGCAAGCGAACTGTCTCTGGATCAGTTGCCCATTCTGCACAGCAACCCACCGAACCTGGCGCGCCGCAACGACGGAGCGTCCGCCTTTTCAACCAGATAAAGCCTACTACGAGCAAGCTTTCTAGTTCCGCGCTGGGGACGAAGGATGGCCGAGAAATGAAGAAGGTAAGGGCTACCGGTGCGAAGGGTCGAACTACAACCGCTCCCAGTGTGGGTCGAGTCGTCAGCGGCAATCGAAAACACATCGGTGACACACATGATGGTGAGACCAAGGACCACCGCCCAGCCACATCGGCATCAAATGGGACCCACCACACTTCTTCGAGAGGACCTTCACTTGATCGGTCTAAAGCTGTGGAGGCATTGACATGGCTGTTAGAGCTATTTTCGAAGCTGGCGTCCGGATACTTTGCGTTGTGTCGCTATCGTTGCGCTGAAGCTACCCAGATCTTCGCAGCTTTGTCGCAGGGCCAGAGGGAGACCCCATGGGTACTGTCGCAAATCGGACGAGCATACTACGAACAGGCGATGTATTCCGAAGCCGAGAAATACTTTGTCCGGGTGAAAAGCATGGCTCCGTCTCGGCTGGAGGATATGGAAATCTACTCAACCGTGCTCTGGCATTTAAAAAATGATGTCGAGCTGGCCTATTTGGCGCACGAGCTCATGGAAACAGACCGTCTCTCGCCTCAGGCCTGGTGCGCTGTTGGCAACTCATTTTCGCACCAGCGGGACCATGACCAGGCTTTGAAATGCTTCAAGCGAGCCACGCAACTTGATCCTCATTTCGCATACGGTTTCACTCTGCAAGGACATGAATATGTGGCCAATGAAGAGTACGACAAGGCTCTCGATGCGTATCGACACGGAATTAGCGCTGACAGTCGCCATTATAACGCCTGGTATGGGTTGGGTACGGTATACGACAAGATGGGCAAGCTCGAGTTTGCCGAACAGCATTTCCGCAATGCGGCTAACATCAATCCGACGAATGCGGTGCTCATCTGCTGCATCGGACTGGTATTGGAGAAGATGAACAACCCCCGCGGGGCCCTCGCTCAGTACGGGCGGGCCTGTCAACTGGCACCTCACTCGGTTCTCGCTCGCTTCCGCAAGGCTCGCGTACTGATGAAGCTTTCGGAGCTGAAGTTGGCGCTGACCGAGCTGAAGGTGCTTAAGGATATGGCACCAGATGAGGCCAACGTGCATTATCTGCTGGGTAAACTCTACAAGATGTTGCATGAGAAGGCCAATGCTATCAAGCATTTCACGACCGCATTGAATTTGGATCCCAAGGTAAGTTTAGGAGCCCTCATCCCATCCTCCGCCAAACTCGAATGCACCCGGCTAACTCCTTCAGGCGGCACAATACATCAAGGATGCCATGGAATCCCTGGACGATGATGAAGAGGATGACGAAGATATGGCATGATTTTCTTTCTCCCTTGTTCTTACTATTCTTCCTGATTCCTCTGTGTACTTCTTCAACGGGTTCCTGTCCTAGTGGACCCATCTGTACCCTGGAAACCTATTGGCGAGGAGCGGCGTTGTCTTTTCTCTTTCTCTCTCTTTCTGGGTTGAATTTGCACCAGCATCAGCATTACGAGGGCGTTCGCCGGTGGGTTGGTTAGAACTGGCATTGCGTGCATCTAGGCCTCGTGAAGGTCGAGGCATCTGGATTGGATTCTGTATGTTAGCGTGGGAGGCTGGGACGGACGAGGCCGGACGACGGAGCTGAACATATCTTCTTGGAAGACTGTTGTCCGAGCAGGCTGCATAATCGAGCTATTACTAGCAACATTGATACCCACTTGTCTTCTCGACTGTAAAACAATGATACTAGTTCATGAACGAGTGTTGACAATTATTGTCTGGCGTTGGGCGGACGAACGGGCGGTGAGGCGGCAGAAATCGGCGGAAATCCATCGCCAGATCCGTTGAGCGAAAGACGAGAGTTTGGGATTCACTGGATGCCGCGAAGATCTCCCTCCCTCTTCCCCTAAATCAAGGTTTCTCTCAATCTTCCTCTCACTCTCCTCCTCTTCCTCCCCGACGTCTCTCTTCCTAGTCCACCTCCGCTTCCTCCTCCCCCTCCTTCCCGCCACCCCTACTGCCGGGTCATGCACCGTCTTTGCGGCCCTCTCGCCTGACCTCGTCATCCCCAAACCCGCATTCCCCAGAGAACCCCAGGTTAGATTTGCCCCGAGCCCACCCTTTGGATATAAAGTCCCCCTCTAACCCGTTCCTGATGCAGATCAGCCGGCACTCTCTCCCCACTTCAGGACCACCACCATGTCCCTCTTTTCCTACGTCGCCTCGGGCATCAGCTCCTTCGTCGTCTTCACACTCTCGCTCTTCGCCCTCGGCCAGAAAGTCCCCCGCGCCGCCTTCGTCGCCCGGTGTCTCGCCGCCTATGGCTCCCTTCTCCTCTGCGCCACCTACGGCGTCCTAGCCTCAATTGTGCTCCGTATCGCTGGCTACGGCCGCATCTCCCAATGGGCCACCGCGCGCAGTTTCAAGTGGGTTATGCGCTACACCACCGGCGTGCGCTTCAACATTGTCGAAGGCGCTGAACACCTGAACACCCGGCCCGCCGTCTTCATTGGAAACCACCAGTCCGAACTGGATGTGCTCATGCTCGGCTACATCTTCCCTCCGTACTGCAGCGTCACGGCCAAGAAGTCCCTCAAACATATTCCCTTCCTCGGCTGGTTCATGGCCCTCTCTCGCACCGTCTTCATTGATCGTGCCAACCGCGAAACGGCCGTCAAGGCTTTCGATAGTGCTGCCGATGAGATGCGCAACCATCGCCAGAGTGTCTTCATCTTCGCCGAGGGCACGCGCAGCTACTCTGATACTCCGGAGCTGTTGCCGTTCAAGAAGGGCGCGTTCCATCTGGCGCTGAAGGCGGGTGTGCCCATTGTTCCGGTCGTTACGGAAAACTACTCGCATGTGCTCTCTCCGCGGAATATGAGGTTCGAGCCGGGCACGATCAAGATCAAGGGTAACCTTCCTCCCATCATGAAAGTGGATCTATAGAATGGCATGCTAACTGGATATAGTCCTCCCCCCAATCAGCACTGAAGGTCTCACGACCGCCGACATCGACGCTCTGACCAAGTCCACGCGCGAGTCCATGCTCAAGACCCTGCTCGAATTGGCCGAGAAGAACGACCAGGAGGTGGAGTCGACGGTTGCCGCTAATGGCAAGTCCACTGCTGTGGAGCTGTAGGGAGAGCAAACAGATCAACTTTCTCAGGCTGACTATTGTTATTCCCGTCTTCTACGATTGCACGACACGAGTAATGCTTGAATTGGCGAGACAGAGCGTGGATACCCTGGCTGGTTAGGGTATGCTAGAGACAACAACTGTTGATGGGGCGAGAACTGACTGGAGGGACATAATCCAGTGTAGAGAAAGCGGCGAGGGGTTAAAGTAAAAGACATTGTCTTGGAGTTTGTCTGGCCATTGCATGACGAGGCCATGGGTTTCTTTCCTAGAGTATATATAGAGCATATTCTTAATGCTTTTAGACCGTCACATACACCTACATCTGCACCAACCTAGTCTCATCACTCATAGTTAAATAAATAGATATCTTACTCCAAACAAGCACACCTCCCCTCCGCACAAACCCTAACATCCCCTTCAACATCCAACCTCCTCAATCCCTCCCACACATCTTTCCCTTCTCCCTCTATCCTCCCAACACCTCCCCCTCTGGCCGCCGTAGCAACCAAATACCCCCCCTCAAACGCCTGCACCTCAACCCTAACATCCCCGACCTCCCTCCCCTTCATCTCCACCCTGACCCCCCTATACACCTCCCCATCCTTATCCGGAACCCTCACATCCAAAAACTCCAACTCCCTCAACCACTCCGCTAACAACGCTTCCCCCGTCATCTTAATATACGCCTCCTTAAGCGCCCAATACGCAAAAAACACCCGATAACTATACACCACCCCCTCCGTCGACGACACCGGATAATGATACACAGGATGCGTGAGCGATTTAATCAAAGATAGTTCCCTCGCCGAGAATATCTCCGTGAATATGGAGACGTATTCCAGGAAGGCTGACCGGGTGGGAGGGGACGGGTTGCGCGGGGAGCGGAGGTGTTCCGTTGTGCTGGTTATGTCGATTCCTACTTGGATTTCTTCTTTTTTGGCATTGGGTGGGATGGTAGTGCCGGCTAAGGCGACCATTGAGTCCTGGTGGCTGACGTTGAATTCGACCGTTGGGATTGAGGAGCTGGAGGCGGAGAGGACTGCTGCGGATGGGATGAAGCAGGGTCGATGGTGCGGGGCTGGGGTCCGGCTGATGGTGATTTGGGACCAGGGGATGCGGCAGGTGCGGTGGATGAAGAGGTATTTGAGGAGGTTGGAGGCTAGGGACATGTGTCTGTCCTTCAGGTGATAGTATTTCTGGATGGCTTGTTGTTCGGTGGGTTGGAGGGTGTCGAGGAGGGGGAGGGCGTTGGAGGTGGCGGTTAGGGGGCGGGTGTCGATGTACCACCGGACTAGGGTGGGTTTGGGGTCGGATGGGGTGGACATTGTGGGTTGGTTGGGTTGGGTATGAGGCTGTTGTGGTGGTGGTGTGTTCAATTGAGTGAGATGTAGTGGTGTAGCTGATGTGAGGAGATCGGGCGTCTATGCGGAGGTGAGATGAGGTGAAGTGAGGGGTTGGGTTAGTTCTCCACGAGGGTCATTGATACATTCTGAGATTAAACTGTTCTAATGACGAATCTCGGAGTCTTATGTTAAAGACCGCAACCAGCGTATTATCACAGCAAAGCAAAAAAGACATTGAACTCATGATGTTAATGATGGCCCCCAAATGTCCGAGGCTGAACGCGGGGCAGCACGTGGTGATAAGCGGTCCGACATTGATCCGCTGACATAAGGCGGCGTTGCTCCCATCAAATAAAGTATAGAGAGTTTGGAGTCATAGTTCTGTTGCTGCCGCCACACTCTCAGATCCTATACTTCGCCATGGGCTGCATCACCGTCGGCGTGCTCGCCTTGCAAGGCGCCTTCTACGAACATATCCAATTGCTGAAGAGTGCGGCCGCCGATTTGCCCGCCAAAGACCGCAGTTCCGCCTCGCAATGGGACTTCATCGAAGTGCGCACCCCGCAGGAACTCGAGCGATGCGATGCGCTGGTGCTGCCCGGAGGTGAAAGCACAACCATGGCCCTTGTTGCCGCCAGGTCCAACCTCTTGGAGCCTTTGCGAGACTTTGTCAAGTATGTCTTATCGGTGTTCTGCACAGTTGCTCTATGTGTATGCTAATTACCATCTCAGGGTCCACCGGAGGCCTACTTGGGGTACCTGCGCCGGTCTGATCCTCCTCGCCGAGTCAGCCAACCGCACAAAGAAGGGTGGCCAGGATCTGATCGGTGGGCTGGACGTGCGCGTCAATCGCAATCATTTTGGCCGTCAGACGGAGAGTTTCCAGGCTCCTCTCGACTTGCCCTTCCTGGGCGCTAATCAACCCGCTTTCCCCGCCGTCTTTATCCGCGCACCCGTCGTGGAGAAAATCCTCCCTCACCAAGAAGGTGAACAAGTGGGCGAGGCTCAGCGCGAGGAGACGGTCATTGCACCGGCGCGCCAGGCGGAAGACGAGGTCGCTCGTCAGGCCATGGCAGATAGTGTGGAGGTCCTGGCAGCTCTACCCGGACGGGCTGCGAGATTGGCCTGCGAGGGGACGCCCATTAACGCCGATGACGAGACGGGGGACATCATTGCTGTCCGCCAAGGGAACGTCTTTGGAACAAGCTTCCACCCGGAGCTGACTGACGACGCCCGCATCCACGCGTGGTGGCTGCGCCAGGTCGAGGAATCAGTGAAGAAAAGACATGCAGCGCATCACGCATGACGAGCAACATCATGGCCGATGGAGCATAGCATTGGGGTATCTGATGTAAATTTTTCTTTCTTGAATGCCTTTCTAGCAATGATAGAAATAGATTGTACATATGAAAACGCCGTTTTTGCGCCAACCTGAATATGTCTGTCTTCCCCTGTTTTACTTACCCTTACCATACTCCTCCTCCTCCCGTCGTCGCTGGTCATCCGCATAGGCACGTCCATAGCCACCGCGACCAGGGTCGTATTCCTCCCGGTACTCATCGCGGACCTGACCACCCGATTTACCACGTCTACCAACGTCAGCAGCCTGCGCGTTCGAGAATCCCGATCATATACATACCCGTATTGCCGACCCTCCTCGAAGCCAGGATCCAGATCCGTCCGGATGATTCTCTCGTCCAGCTTTGTGCCACCAATGTATTTCAGACAGTCCAGCGCATCCTGATGGGTGTAATATTCGACGAAGCAAAATCCGCAGGGGGTCTTGTTGTACCGGTCAAGGCCCATGACTAGCCGCTTAATCTCGCCGCACCTGTACTCCATCAGCTCGGTACTCGTCGATAACGCATTCGGTGGTGGTTTCCGCTCACTTGGCAAATAGCTCATGGATCTGCTCTTCGGTGGTGTAAAAAGAACTTGTGTTGTTAGCAAGGACTTGACAACGGAGATACTCTGTAACATACAGATTGCCAACGTAGAGAGTGGTGGCATCCTTGAGGTTGTCGGTGGGATCTTCGGGTTTCTCGCCCTCATCATGGCTGAACTTGCGACGCTTGTTCTGGAGAGGATTAATGAATTAGTATTGTCATGGTCCGCTAGTCGTAGAGATGAAGCTCACCTTGCCCAGATAGTAGGCACTCGGCCGGTCCAGGCGTTCGACGGTGTTGTGGACGAGGGTGCTCATAGTGCTCGGCGTTAGACAAGCAAGGATTGAATAAAGAAAAAAAGGTTTAAACGCCGGGAAGCAATGTGAGCGGAGTTCGCCAAATAATGAGAGGAAGTGAGTCTGCAAAGAAGATCCGATCAGGTCGGGAAGCTGAAGCAACCAACGGGAGTCTTGCTTCTTGGCGCACCGCCCTTCTTCGATCCAGCTTCAGCTTCCGCCCAAAATTTCCCCGACGGGAGCTGTTTATTGCCTTTTCTCACTCCGTCGTGCTTTCCGGCATTTTCCCTTCCCTTCGCATTTGGCTTCAGGTGCAGGATGAGATTGTAAGGTTTCTCAATCTCAACTTGTTTGCCATAAGAAACACCCTCGATCATGCCGAAAGTCATCAGCTTCACTCCGCCGTGGCTCTCGCGCCCGGCGCCCGGCGCCTCCATCTTTGCCAGCTCCGGCTCCAAATCACCAGAATATACGCCCGGGACGAAGGAAGTCATCTATTCGGGACCTACGCGCATTCAGGCGAAGCGGGGAAATGAGCTATTCACCGTTGTGGATAACCAGATTCGCTGGTCCAGCCTGACCAGACTGAAGGATGAATGGCAGCACAACTCCAGGTCGAATGACAAGCAGCCGTCTGAGGACCGCAGCGTGCAGTACAGGGTAGGACAAGGATTACCAGTGCTTTATTGTTCGGTCTGAAGCTAAACTGATGCTGCTTAGATTCTGAATGTTCCTGTATTCGAGAAAATCCGTCAATTGATCCCCTCGCCAAATGGCGCATTCCTAGCCATTGTTGCCGATCGCACCGTCTTCATCGCCGTGCTACCGGATCCTTCTCATCTGTCTGGAACAGACAGCTCTCCCATCCGCGTGAAATCGTACCAGCTTGGCCCGACCACCCACGTCATTCCCGAGTCGCCTGTGGTGTCGGCGCTATGGCATCCATTGGGTGTCCACACCAACCTCGGGGGCTGTTTCGTGACTATTACGGCAGATGCTGCAGTTCGAGTGTGGGAGCTGGATCGGAATAACCACTGGTCATTTGACCGTCCGACTTTGGCTGTCGATTTGAGGAAGCTGGTGGACGGAACCTCATCGGACCAGGACTTTGCGCCGTCGGGATTCGGCAAGAACAAGGGATTCTCAGCTGATTTTATCGATATGGAGGTTGCATCTGCTTGCTTTGGTGGCAGCGGAAATGAACGGGAGGACGCATGGGCGCCCATGACCCTGTGGGTAGCAATGAGACCGGGCGACCTCTACGCTCTGTGTCCGTTGTTGCCCTCCAAGTGGCGCGCGCCGTCAACAACCATCCCTTCGTTGACTGCGGCTATTGTTCCGAAGCTGGCTTCTTTGGAGGAGGACCCGGCCGAGTATGAGGATGAACTGACTGCATGCCGGCAGCAGTACGACTGGCTGGCCGAAATTGATAACCAGGACCCTCTACATACAGAGTTTGATGCGGAGACGGGTTC